CCTCCCCCGGCCCTCCTGCCCTCGGAAGCGCCTTGCGGGCCTGAGCGAGGCCAGGGGCCGCCAGCTGACCCAGCCTGGCCTGGCACCGCGAATTAAACGCTCCCGGACAAGCAGAGGCCGAGGGGCCCGGGCGCTGCGGGGCCGGCGCCCCTCTGAGCACGCCGAGGGCGGCAGTGTCCCCAGGCAGCGTAGGGCTCACCAAGGGGGGCCCCTCCGGGAGCCTGGCAGTGGGGCCGGTCTCGCCAGGAAAGGGCTGAAGCAGCGACCTGCAGAAGCCGGGCCGCCTCTGGGACGAGGCACCCCTTCCGCCAGCCAGCGCTGCTTTGGGGGCAGCAGGGGGTGCTGGCAGGGAGGCACGGCGTGGGGAGAATGGGGCACGGGCCCTGGCAGGGGGCACAGCTGCACCGGGGCCTCCGGCACACAAGGCTCCGTGCCCACGTCCGCACAGGCCGCATCCCTCCTCTAGCGCTGGCCCGAGAAGACCTCTCTGTACGCGCCCTTCCCCGCCTCTCCTCCTCCTGCGAGCTTCCAGGCCACAGGTCCTCAAGCTACGGCCCGTGGGACGGATCCGGCCCACCATGGCCACCCATCCGGCCCGCGCCGCCGCTCGTCACCCACACGGACACTTGCAGCGCGGGCACGGAGGCAGTGGCTTGCTCACTAGGAGATGGTCTCCGGGCGAGCAAGCCACCGCTGCTGCCTCGCCGCGCGGGGGGGAGGTGGCGGCTCGCTCGCTCGCTCGGAGATGGTTCGGACTCGCTGGGAGATCTCCAAGTGAGCGAGCAAGCCGCCATCACATGCGGCCGATGCCGCCTCGCGCACGCCCAATGGCACCTCACTGGCCTGGGCCCCCAGGCACCCCCCCCACCGGCCGAGACGGGCACCGCGGCCTTCCAACTGGCCCCCTACTGAAAAAGTCTGAGGACCGCTGTTCCGGGCTAGAGGGTGCAGCTCGGGCATTTCACCACCAGAGGGCAGCCTTGCCCTAGAAATGCGCCCATGCGCCGCTCCGGCAGCGCAGCCCTCAGCGCCACTTCCAGCAAAAGCAGCGGGCAGCTGCCTGTGTGAAGTCCTCTGGGGGCACGTGAAGGGCCGGGCCGAGCCACCCCGTGGATGACGCAGGCCACCCTGCTCAGGGTGGCCCCTGGGAGCATGCAGCCGTCCCCCCGGCCGGCGAGGTGAGGGCAGGCCGGGGGCTCTCCGCCCGCTGACGGCCTGAGGGGCCCACGTCCATCAGGAAAGGCTCCGCACCCGCGAGTCTCACTGGGGAAACCTGTGCAAGACCGCGGACCAGCGTCGGAAAGGAGTGCCTGCTTTATCTCCGGGTTAAAGTGCCCAGAGGCCACTGCTTGGTCTCGCTTTTGCTGGGTGTTATGCAGCCCAGTGACCCTGCTCAGACGCCCACCTCGAAGCTCCTTTCCAGAGAGTAAGCTTCCCTGGGCTTGCTGGGCCTTGCTCCCGAGTAGACTAGCCTAGCACTGCACTCTCCGCATGCCCTCCGGCACGCAGGTGCACCTCTCCTCCATCAGCACCATCCCGACCGAACCGAACAGGGGTCTTGAAACGGGGTGGCCAGAGCAGAGTTGGCACTCTTCGGACTAGCTTCTGACCATGCGAAAAGAGCCTCTGGCCACCGATAAAAAGCGGGTGATTGAGGAGCAACTAAGAACAACGCATCGGCTTCCGTGAATGAATTTACCCAGAGGAGAAACCTAAAATGCCATTTGCTTTTCGATGCGTGATTTACAGATTCTGCAATGCCTCTTCTAAATCTTGTCAGTAACTATTTTATTTATTTCAATTCTCCACTACCTAATAGCCAAAGCTCTCTCCATAGTTTACAATTGCTTTAATATTGCATTTGAAAGTGATTTTAATATTTGTATATTAACCGCATGGAGGTATTTCCATATTAAGTGTTATATAAACATGATTAACCAGCATAAGGAAATCTGCTGTTTTCAGAAGAAGTGGAAGTCTCTCTATGGCCTACACTGATTTACTTGAGGCGTATTCCTATGGACGTTTAGACTGAAAAGGCGATAAAACCGGTCACTCCTGGGAAATGCAAGGCTTGGCTTGCCTAAAGGTGCATGAGACTGCAGCTTTCATTTATACAACCCTGCATATTGCAATACTTAATGGGTCTTTCCAGGTCAGCTTACATGCTCCAGGGCCTCAACTGAGCGACAGCAACATGGTCCAAATGCTGATGCCTGTGATTGGTGAAGTTCTTGGCCTCTTTCTATGGAATTTCTTGTGTGCCATTGATGACGGAGGGCAGTAAAGCACGGGAACGTTTCTATTAAAAACGAAGCAGCCCTGCTGCCCACAGACTCCCTCCAGATGGCAGCAACCACCCCGTTTTCCAGCCCCTGACCCACAGACTAGCCTCCCTCCTCTGTTTCCCCTCCACAGCCGGTGCCTGGGCACCATGCTCCACCCGGCTCCCTCTGCAGAGAAAGTCCAGGCACCCCCTCCCTCCCTCCCTCCCGGATCCGCCGCACCCCCTTTTAAAGCCATCCCTGACGGTCGGGAAGAAAGAAAAGCAAATAAAAATAATGCATTTAGCCTATCGCCATCACTCCCATCTTGTGACAGCAAATTACGTGGCTCGGTGAAGCAACCGCGGGCTGTCGCTTGCCAGTTGCACGGCCCTGAGTTCCGGTGCTGTGCGGGGAGGGACGGCCCTGCCCTCGTCTAAAAACCCCGGTCCTACTTCCTGCTGGCGAGGCGAGGCGAGGCGAGGCGAGGCGAGGCAGGACCCCCTTCCTCCTCACCCGCAGCGGAGACGCTGCCCCAGACGCTGGCCGGAGAGACGCTCTCGGACCAGGAGGCCCTCCGAGCGATTCCGCTTCGATCTCGCAGCAGGCCTTCTGCGGGGGGCACCCTGACCGTGCCGGGGGGGGGGCGGTCAGGAATGCAGGCAGCCGTGCCAATCCGTGCTGCGACTCCGCTCCTAGCCGTGCCCCCCCCCCGGGCGCAGGGCTGACGGGCGAGCAGGGGCACGGCCTCCCCGGACAGCGCTCCCCCACCCTGCGCGCCCCGCTCGGTCCCCAGGAGAAAGGCGGGCAGAACAAGCCGCTTCTGGACCAGGCGCCGTCCCTGATGGGCAGGGAAGGGGCCAGGCGCTGCCGCCTTCAGCCAGCGGCCGCGTCTGCCGTGCCCTCCCACTGCCTCGTCCAAGCTTCCCCTTCCTTCCCTCCTTTTCTGCACTAAGCAACTATCGAAGTGTGCAAGGAACACCTCGAACACATGCGGCCTTAAAGCAGGCTGAAGCGGTCGGAAATGATGTACAACGGAACTGCCAGGATGCAATCTGCAAAGGCCCGACATTGAAAAGCCGGATCACGTGCTCTCAAATCCCGGGGCCAAGAAGAAAGTCTCGGCCCCGGCGACAAAAAATGAGCAGACTGTGGCCTAGTGGTTAGAGTGCTGGGCTAGGATCCAGGAGAGGCGGGTTCTGGGCCACACGCAGCCATGAGGTTCACCGGCTGCCCTTGGGCCAGCCACGGACCCTAACCCAGAACACGAGGACAGCCCTCCAGCATCAGACCAGCGTCCATCTGGGCCAGCGGTGGCGCACCCATGGCACGCGTGCCCCAGCGGGCACACAGGGCCCTCTCTGCCGGCACGCGAGCCAAGTCGCCCCAGCTTCGCCCCAGCAGCCGAGCATCGCTGAACAGCGCACAGAGGGGCCATGCACATGCTCGGAAAGCAGCGCCAGGAGATGGCATCACAAGCCATCGGCAGCTGCGACTCGTCCGAGCTTTCGCATGGCCAGGCAGTGCACTGCCAAGGATGGATGGATGGATGGATGGATGGATAGATAGATAGATTTGCTTGGACTGGCTGTGAGTTGTTTTTTCTGAACCAAACCCTCAGTTTTCAGGTTTTATTGCAGCGTTGGCACTTTGCGATAAATAAGTGGGTTTTGGGTTGCAGCACTCGGTCTCTGAAAGCGCCGCCATCGCTGGTCTAGGCCAACACACGGTATGCACAGCAGCGAACCAGCTGCCCCGGGATCCCTCCCGCTGGGGGTCCAAGACCTTCGGCGACCGGTGTGCAGGCAGGCCCCCCTGAACGAGGGGGCAGCACGTGGCCAGCCAGGCGGGGAGCCACGGAGGGCCTTCTCCCTCGTGCATCGTGCACGAAGACCGCCTCGCTGGTATCTACCCGAAACCCCCACCCATCAGCCCCATGGGATGATGCCGGCCGTTCCCCTGGTGGCCCTCCACCCGCCCCCCCTCAGAGGAGGTACCTGGAGGATGCTCTAGTGGCCACCTGCACTGAACAGGAAGGCCCATGCCAGGAGGGCCCTCCAAAAGGGCTGCGGAAGGCTCCGCGGGTCGGAAGCGGCACTTTGGCCGGGGCTCCGAACTGTGCCGGGAGCCTGCGGAGGGGACCGGACCGTGCCGGGAGCCCAAAGCGCCCGCCGGTCCTCCTTGGAGCTTCGCCCCCCTCCTCTGGCGCCCTCGGCCGCTCACGCTGCCCCGCTGGACGGCGGTGGCACTGAGCCCGACGCACCCGGAAGACGCCAGTGGGGAGGGCGGGTGGACGGGAGGACGAGCGAGGGGGCCTAGGTCAAGCAGGCCGGCCTTTCCCCAGAGCCGGGCCCACGATGAGAAGGCACGGCTCCCTGGAGGAGACCATCGCGCCAGCGGAGCCAAGGGCAGAAGGAGGCGAGGAAGACCAGCCAGGAGACAGACGGACGGACTCCATGGCGGCAGCGGTGGCCGCACGGGGCTGCCCAGGACCGGCTCCGGAGGACACGCACTCGCAGGGTTGCGGGAGGTGGGCGACGACCCGACGGCACACACAACAACGGCCTCCGACACAGAGAGGCGCCCCTGCCTGCGGATCTCCCTCAAAGGCCTGCGCAGCTCTTCCTTGGGACCCTCCGCACTGAGGACGCCGCAGCGGGAGCACAAGGAAAGCGCCCCCGGCTCCGAGGTGGCGGCTCCGCGCCGTGGCCCGGCTGGTGGCCGCGTTGTGCTTACCTGGCTCGTGCTCTCTGGGGCGCAGGCCGCGGAGGCAGCCTGGGGGGCCGGCTGGGGACCGGGGGCCCCCTCTGGAAGGCCGGCTGGCTCTCCATCTGGTAGCGCTTGGCAGGGAGGGGGGGCAGCGCAGGCTTCCCCGTCTCTTCGCGAGGCGCCGTCTCCGGACTCAGCCGCTCTCCGGCGGGCGGAGGGGGCAGCAGCGGGGGAGTCAAGTCCAAAAGGCAAGTGGAATCCGGGGGAGAGGCTGCGGGGGGCTCAGCGGCAGCAGGAGAGGAGAACTTGACCGGCGGGTGGCAGCTCGTCCTGGGCGGGATGGGCGGCGGCACGGGGAGGGGGCTCGCCGGGCTCTCCGGCTCCCGCAAGGGAGGCGACCTCTTGCCCGTTGGCGCAGCCGACTCGCCTCTGGCCTCCTGCTCCGCCGGAGAAGCCGCGGGCCCGGTGCGGAAGATGTGGCGCTTCATGGGGACGGGTCTCCTCGGGGGGCACTGGGGCCTCTCCGGGGCCGGGCCGGCCTCCGAGAAGGCCTTCTGCAGCCCGGAGAGGATGCGCTTCCGGTGCCCGGGCAGCTGGATCCCGAGGTGGGTCAGCGCCTCGTCCGTCAGGTGCCGGCAGTCCGACAGGGCCCACAGGCGGTTCCGCTGGAAGTGCTCGATGTACTGCTCCAGGTGCAGGGCCTGGAGCCACTCGGCCATGGGCAGGGACGCCCCGTCCGCCATGGCAGCCGGGGGGGGCGCTTCGCCCAGTTCAGTCCATCCCTCCGACTTCTGCTGGACCGAGATCCGAAGCGCGTTCTGCAGAAGCAAGCACAGAAGGGCTTTCACTCGGCTTCACTGGGCCCCGTCTCACACGCAGTCCCTGCACCTTCCACCCCATCCTCCAATCCCCATACCGTTTGCACAATAAAAATGGACATTTCGACAATAAAACAACACAACGCCCAGAGAAGGGCAGCCAAAGGCAGCCGCTCAAAGCTGAGTGAGACAGGTCCAGCGCATCGGCCCTCGAAAGGTCCGAGGGGCCTGCAAAATGAACGAGCATCTTCTCCTGGCACCAGGACCGGGGGGCACAGGGGGGCACGGCGACTGCAAGACAAGCCTCCGCATCAGGGGGTTCCACCGGTGGCCGGCCAGCAGCTTGTCAGCCTGTCAGAAGGCCTGCCTTCAGCCACAACCACTAAGATCGTGTGCGCAAGAGGCAGGGCCTTCCCGGTGGGGGCCCAGGATTCGGAACCCACAAGAGTCCCACAGACCCACGTCCCCTCCTTCTGCCGCAGCATTTAGAGTGCATTGGCGGGGGGAGGGGGGTCCAGCTCCGTACTCGTGGGATCTAGGAAATTGAAATAGGACATTTATTGTATCAAACAAAACACTGAAAAGCCGTTTTGTTTTTAAGCAGAATTCATTCTGAAACCAAACTTTGGCCCATAAGCAACTTCCTTTGGGGACCTCAGTGGGGTGGACGGTTTCCTCCCGCGCATGAGCACTCGGCACATACTGTGCTGCTGGCTGGGGATGCTGGAAGTTGTAGTCTAATCCCTGGAGGCCACTGGAAAGGCAGCACTAAAGCATCTGACACAGGCTGGCATGAAACAAAAGTGTTGCATCCCGGTCACAAAACACCACCTTGTGGGTGCCTCTGGCTGCACAAACCGCCCCAGGCGCCGCTGCTTCCCAAAGGCGCGTGCTGCCCCTGGGCCACGTCAGCGGCAACGCGAGCGTCTGCGCAGGAAGCGTCCCGCTCGAGCCACTAGTCCAAAGCAGGAACCCTTCGGGGCCGGAGGGCAACCCCGGCAGCTCCTCTGGCCTCCTCCCCTCGTCCTTCCGAGATTCCTATTCATTTCCGACGGCGAGTCCCTTGCAGAGTGTGCCTGGCCGTCTGAACGTGGCGCCACGGCTGCAGGCGAGGCTGCCGGCCCACACCCTCCACGCCACTCGGCCTTCCCCACGCTGGGGCCTCCCAGAGGGGGTGGTCTGCCAGTCCCCACACTGGCTGGGGATGATGGGAACAGCAGCACACCTGGGCGAGGACGGCCGTCCTCAGCTTGGCCTTCTTAGGCCCTCCTTCGTTCGCCTGGAGCCAAAATCATTCTGGGCCGCTTGAACCCGGCCCGAGGCTGATGGATCGCGCAGCCCAACTGCAGGGCCCACCACATGCAGCAGCCGTCGGACCCGCAACTGAGCGGCTCAGGAAAGCACGACAAGCCGCCTCCGGGCTGAAGCGCTTGCGCCATGAGCGTCCCCCGGAACATTTCCCAGGCAGAAGCGAATATGCACGGAGAGGGGGCGTCAGGTCGCAGCGCCGCCTTCTCCGGGGATCTGGCGACCGGGCCGCAGTGGCGCCTTGGCCCAGCAGGCCCCCAGCTCAGCAGGCCTAAGCTCTGAGCACCGGGCAGTCACCCCCTCGCTTCCCAGTAGGTCGACTGGGTAGCAAACCCCACAAAGCGAATTTTAGCCCCTCAGGAGCTTCCTTTTCTTCCCAGTCTGGGAAACACAGGCTGTGCCAGGGTGTGGAGCGACACAGAATTCTTCTCTTAGAGGTGCCTGTGACTTTAGCACTGCCCTAAACCAAAGCACGTTTTTCAGCCTGAAGGAGGAAAATGCAGAAACGCTTGGTGTTCCTCATGCACTTCCATGCCCCAGGCAGCTTTTTCCAACCTGGTGCCCCACAGTCCGCACTGTCGACCAGATCCCACATGACCCCCAAGCCCCAGTGTCCCCAGGCGAGGACTGGATGCTCACCTCCAACCGCCGAGGAGACGCCTCCCTTCGGGGCTCTGGATGGCTCACAGGATCCGCGCTGGGCGGACGGGCAGGACCCCCGATCTACACGGTCTGTCGCCAGACCAGGGAGCCACGGGGCCGCCCACGCGCCTTCCGCCCGCGAAGGCCCCCGGAGCACGCAAACCCGGTCACCTAGAAGCAGCGCAAGAAGATCCCGAATTCAGATTTCCTGCCAATCTGATGAAGCTCTCCTCTAACCGGCCCCTCATCACAATCCTGTCACACAGAAGCACGCACACAACCCGTGAATGCAGTTTTCCCTCTAATCTGATTCGGAAAATTTGCTTTCTGCCTTTCTAAAATTACACCAGGGAATACCCCAGGGCTTTTCTAACACCCCGGCTCCCTCTTCTCTTTCTTTAATGGCGCATTCGGCCCATGGACGACCCCAAGGAGGTTTGTGCCGGACTCCTCTGCAGCGGCTTCCGCAGTCTCTGGGCTCAACAGCCTGGGGAAAATACCGGTGTGCCGTGCCTTGCCCAGGGAGACGCGCAGGCACCTCTGGGACCCTCCGCGGAAAGGCCAGGTGCCCTGCTTTGCAGAGGAAAGCCCTCTGTTTGGGGGCTGCCAGAAAACAGTCCTCCAGCCGAACGTTTCGTCTGTTTGAGGAGCTGTGGAGTCCAAGTCGCCTAGGAAGATAAAGGGGGAACCGGGCAGGGCCTCGACGCCCCAGTCAATAAGGGGCAGCATTTCCGAGCCCCGGGGCTGTCCCCAGACACAGCCCTCCCCGGGACAGTGGGACTGAGTGGGCGCTGCGGCTATTCAGAGCAGCTCCACCCAGCAGGCCACGGGGAGCTGCTTGCCTCGGTCACCCAGCACCCTCCCAATGTGTTCGACTCCAGCTCCCATCATCCACCAGCCAGCATGGCCATAGGTTGGCCAAGCTACTTTTTATCTGCACTTTCATTTGCAGCTGTGAGGCCGGGAGCCAGGGTTCCTTTGACTCCGCAAACGCCAGCTTTCCTTCGGATGCTTTACACTAACGGCTCGATCTTACTAAGCTTTAATTCTTATAGATCGTGTTTTCTGCCTCGAAAATTATGCCCTCCAGCTCTTGGATTCCGCCCATTCACTGTGGCCCATGGGGACTCACAGCCCCCAAAACCAGTCCGCGGGGAAAGGCAGCACACTTCCTCTTACAAACTGGAAAAGCGACCCGTCTCCATCCTAGAACTTCCGTGTCCCCCCAGGGTCACCCGAGCCACAGTCCCCGACTGCCGTGGACCGAGCCAAGCTCCTGGCCCACGCGGCCAAGTGCTGCCACGTCCCCCCGGAAGCAGCTCCCCGAGGCAAGATCGTCTGGGGGGAACGCTGGCGACCGAGCCTGGGGGCACCTGAGATGTGCCCCCCCGCCCCGCCACGCATTCAACCCGTTCTCCAGCAAGCGCCCCACACCCCTCCTTGCTCCGCCCCCGGAAGCGCCCAGCCACACGCCCAGGTGCGACCAGGAGCTGGGCTTCCCCCAGGACGTCTCCTCCTTCCACTTGGGGTAGCACAGAAACCCACCACGGATTTGCACGAGCGTTGACTTCTGTGAACCCCTCTGTCCTGGAGGAGGCTGTCCTGGACGGGTGCGATCCACTTTCCACCTCTGGGGGAAGCGTGCGCCAATCTGCACCAGCGCCAGTGCGCGCTGGTCATCGTTGCGCCTTGCACCAGGAGCCGGCGGACTTCACCCCCTGCGCTTGAGCGCTGCCGTGCATCGCCTGACTGACGCGGGTCCCCCAATTCCGCACGAGCAGCGCTGCCCAGTGGCACAAGTGGACTGAAGCCCCCGTTCCCTCCAGCCCATGCCAGCGCAGCTCGCGCCCCCCGCCTCTCCCCCCTCCCAGCTCCCAGGCCTGCAGAATATGCCAAGCGGAGGCAGGAGTGGCTACTCAAACCCCTCCAGCGCGGCGAGCGCTCCAGAAGCTTGGCCTGCGACCAAAATGCCAGCGGTATGGCGAGCCTGGGGAAGGGGAGAGACCGCCCACGCCATGCCCGCTCGCCCCCCTCCCCCCCAGGCTGGCCTCCTCCCAGAGCTCTGCTCTTGCAAAACATGCCAGGGTCGCCGTCATGCAAAGCTGCGAGGGAGCGTCTCGAGGAGAGAGACAAGAAAGGCACGGCCGGGCCATCCGCCCCGGCCACGTTTCCGAGTCACCCGTGTGCGCCCCCTCCCGCTCTCAGCCTCTCTCTCTCGCTCTCCTGCACACACGCTGCAGCCCCCCAGCCACGGGAACGCCTGCTTGTGCGCACCACGTACCGGAACCAGCAGCAGGTACCCCGGTCGGGTGCGTGCGGCACGCGCTTCCCCAAGAAGCAAGACCGCCAGTCTCTCCGGCTCGACCTTTGGACTTGGAACGTGCTCCTGGGAAGCTTCTTGGCCCTTTTATGGAGAAGAACGGGCTCCTTTCAGAAATGGAAGTGCCGCTTGGTGACAAGCTGCGGGCAAGATCCAGCCTCGTGCACAGTCCACAGCAACACGCAAACCACGACCGCAGTGTAGTGTGTCGACACAAAATTCAGCCTGGGAGATTCTCAGACCTACTGGCGGCAAAAGCAAGTGTCTAGTCCTGAGTGTTGCCTGGATAAGCCCGGGCGGGTCCCCACAGAAAGCACAGAAGCTAGTCGGGGCCTGAGCAAGATGCCCGCTCCTCATGGGAGTGAGAACGTTTCCGCAGCTCCGGGCACCCCGGCAGGAGCAGCAGCGATGCCCGCGGAGGCCGGGCCCCTCGCAAACCATCTGATTTCCCAGCTCGGCTGGCCGGCCGGCCATCGCCCACAGGAAATGCTCCACGCGCTCGCTCCTTGCCGAACCCCGCTGATTAAAAGGCAGGCCGCCTCCGCCAGGCCTGGGGCTCCCTTGCCTGCCCCCCGCTGGATGGCGCCCCAGCAGGCGGGTCCCATCGTCATCCTCTGACTGAATGCAGGAAGCGGGGCCAGAGCCCCCCAGGTGGGCTCCTCCTCCCCACTCCCCTTGCCGGGGCCTGTCGCCCACCCATCCCAGCATGCTCTGCAGCGCTCCCAGGATGCATGGGGGTGCGAATGGGGCGAAAGGCTGCCCCCGGGCGGCACACAAGGGCAACGCTCCCCGTGTCTGCTCTGGGGAGCGGGGCTGCGGGGGGCAGGGCTGCTGCCCTGGCGCGCCACTTGGGGGCTTGCCAGACGTGCCTGGCCAAGCTCCGGGGAAAGAGGCGGCGGGCATGATGGGGCCTTGCCCCGACCCACAGAACTCACCCCTCAGGTGCACCTGCCGCACCTGCTGTTACTGGAGCCCAGAACAGGGGTTCTGCCGGGACCTACGGGGCAGGGGGAGCCGCAAGGGGAGGGGAGGGGAGGGGGAGAGCTTGCCAAGCGCCACGGCGGGGGCAGAACATTTCCTCTGGACTTCTGCTGAACGCAGGGCAAAATGACGTGCTCTCAGCGAATTCAGGTTCCTGAAAGTTGGAGCGCTCACATGCGGACGGATCTTTGCAGCGACGGATTCGTTCTGAACGCTGGAAGTCACTCTGGCCCCTTCCATCGCACGCCCCACGTGGTCCAGTGGCAGTTAAAGCAGAAGAGCAAACGCAAACAGGCAAGCAGGAAGCCCTCCCCACCCCCCCCACCCCCGCACAGGAGGTCATTCCCCTGAGAACTCGGCAGTCAGTAGAAGCAGCAGAGCAGGGTCAGCTGGGAGGCGCCTCTCTCAACTGCCCCCCTTCACAGAAACAGAGAAACAGAGCGAGTCAGAAGGGGCCTCCCGGGCCATCTAGTCTGACCCCCGGCTCCAGCTGGCTCCACTCACAACGTGCCCACCATGTGCACATCCAGCCTATCCTTGAACACCCTCACCGATGGGGCCTCAACCACCTCCCGTGGAAGCCCATTCCACACCCTCGGGGTCCTGACTGTTGGAAAGTGCTTCCTGGCATCGAAATGGAAGCCTGGTTCCCCGAGCTTTGCTCCATTGGAGCGCGTCCTGCCTTCCTCTGCAGGGGAGAACAGGCCTCTCCCCACCTCCGTGTGACACCCCCTCACATACCTGCATGTCACAAACAGATCCCCTCTGAGTCTCCTCCAGGCTGAAGAGACCCAGTTCCCTCAGTCTCGCCTCATCTGGCCTCCCCTGCAAACCGGCCACCAACCTTGTGGCCCTTCGCTGCACTGACTCCAACCTGGCTATATCCTTCCTGCAATGAGGGGCCCAAAACTGAGCACAATACTCCAGTTGCGGGCGCACCAGAGTCATGTACAGTGGCAGCAATACCTCTCTTGATCTAGAAGCCATACTTCTGGCTATGCAACCAAGGGTGGCGTTCGCCCTCTTGACCACCGCATCACGTGGCTGGCTCACGTTTAGCCTGCAGTCGACCAGCACCCCGAGGTCCCTTTCACAAGTGCTGCTCTCCAGCCACTTGTCACCTAACCTGCACTTATGACACCCATTCCTATGCCCCAAGTGCAAGACCTTGCACTTATCCACATTGAACGCCATCCTGTTGTCTCCTGCCCACTTCCATAGTCTGTCCAGATCCTTTTGGATCTGGAGTACCTGCTCCTCAGTTGTGGCCACTGCCCCAGTTTTAGTGTCGTCTGCGAATTTGATCAGCAGACTGTTCACCCCTTCTTCCATGTCGTTAATGAAAAGATTAAACAGGATCGGCCCCAGACAGAGCCCTGGGGGACCCCGCTCGTCACTGGCCGCCATCCCGATGATTCCCCACTAATGGTTACCCTCTGCTTTCCATCAATTAGCCATGCCCTAATCCACCAGACACTGCATTGGTCTATCCCAAAACGCCTCAGTTTCTCCACCGGGATATCATGGGGCACTTTGTCCAAGGCCTTGCTGAAATCCAGGTAACCCACATCCACTGCATCCCCTCCATCCAGCCACCTCGAAACCTTGTCATAGAATTCCACCAGGTTTGTCTGGCAGGACCTGTTTTTGCGGAAGCCGTGTTGTGTGGCTGCCAGCCTCCCTTCCCTATCTAGCATCACTAGATCTCTCTCTATTATGAGCCTTTCCATTGTTTTTCCT